GTCATCTGGCAGTCTCCGGCCACCTAAATTAGGACCCGGAGACTGCCAGATGACCCCGCTCGGAGCGCCGCACACCGGAGCAGCAGTGACGCGACGCTCGGCGAGGTAAGTAAGATGACACCTGGCGCTGACTCGAGTATAAGCCGAGGGGGGCACTTTTCACCCAAAAAAATGGGCTGAACATCTCGGCTTATACTCGAGTATATACGGTAATATTTTTGGAACAACTACTGTAGGGTTGCAGGTGTCCAATGTTCATTTACTTTCAAGAGCAAATGATGTCACCAGCAATAAAGTAGAAAATGCCTTTGCATTAATGCTTTTCTAGTTGACTTATAATTAATATACTCTATAATTTATTGATATCAATTAACGTTAAACTTTCCTGACCCAGACTGGTGTGTTGATTTAAAAATGAAAGTGAATGTTTTATAGTCAATCTGCTCATATAAAAAAGACATCCTAACATATATCATTTTAAAAAAATCATATACTTGTATTATATATATATATGTTTAATTAAAGGGATTCTAAACCTGTAATTGATACATAACTTCAAAGGGTAGCATAGATAGAAATATCTACCAGGTACTGGAGTCCTGGATCAGTAAATCTGATCCACAAATATTTGTTATTTTACACTCATTATACCAGTAGACCTTTTGTCATGCTGTTTTTTTTAAGCACAATTGCACTTTTTGTGGGCACAATTGCACTTTAAGGTCCAGGCCCTCACTTTGCCCTGGGGCCCTGGTAGAGCTTTTAACAAGCTGGCCTCAACTTGCTAGGCCTAGATCTAGTAAATATAAACTATTAATATTCTAAGTCTGTGGGTCAGATTCTGACACAAATATTGTGTCAGAATATCTCTCCCAGTAGTAAACAGGCATGCATTAAGTCTTGGTGGTAATCTTGTTTTTTGTTTACTTGGTGGTTCTCATGTACATATTGATCGCATGCTCTTACCTTTTCTGTTTGTTGCTAGAATATTGTTCTGTTGATTTCTTTGGCTTATGTCCTGAATTTTGCTTATTTTGACTGGTAGATGTGCTGCTTCCTGTCATTTGTGCTTGTTTCCATAGGCTTCAGTTACCAAAATAACCAAAATAAAAAAATGCTGGTATTGCCCTTTGGGGCATAAATCTGAAACTTTTATTCTCCAGCTGTCATTTAAATTTTTTGCTGATTGAATGCAACAGCACAACACTGTTTCTTTCAACCACTTGGCAAATGTATCCTCATTTAATCTCCATTCCTATCCTGATATTAACTTATTTCTCATACCTCATGTATCTAGTCTATTTCCCTATTGTGTCTTGTAATTTATACTTTCTCTTGTATAGCATTTGGGTTTATCATAGCAGTAAATATGTGCATTTTCCTCTGTGCCCATATGATGGCATAAAAATACACAAGTTTCCTGTACGTAGAACAACCTACTGGTTATCCATTATTTTTGTGATTCAAAATGTTTCAGTAACCTCAGACTGGTCATAGCTTATTTAGCTATTGATCCTATTGATCTACCGGCTGATCAAAGCTTAACGCCAAAAGTGGTTTCAGATATTAGGAAATTATCCAACAACTGAATGATGAATGATGGATGATTATCCAACAACTGAATGATTTCTGCAAGACATTGCATGAATATGCATGTTGTTGTGCTCTGAAGACATCCAAATTACCAACCTTAATTTGTGAGAACAGATCAAAACACCAGAACTTCTAATTTTTCAGCTGGTAGTGTCTCCAGAGCTTTTAAGTTGTCAAATGCCCAAATGCCTAGTCAGACAAAAGAGCATGTGTAAGGTCAGACACTCATGTTGGTTGAGCAGACCTAACTTACAATTGGTGTCCCAAGGTACCCCAAAAGTGATCATTAGGATTGGGGTCAAGGGTCTGTGCAAGCCACTCAAGTTTCTCCATACCAAACTTGTCAAACCCTATCTTTATGGACTTGCCTATGTGCAACAGTGGCACAATCATGCTGGAAAACTAAGCTATTTGTTTAGGATTGAACAATGGCCTAAAGCTGCATAAACGGTGCCCTTTACTGGAAACATCTGAACTCACTAATTTGGTGAGGTGTACAATTACTTTTGGATATAAAGGGGTTGACTTACTTCAGGAAAATAGGCTGCTCACTTTACTTTGCACTTTGCGTCCAGGGGCGGAAGGGGGTGTGGAGGTGCATTGAAGTGCACTTTTGTAGATTGCACTGGACCGGAGCGCAGGCACTGATGTGCCACGCGTTTTGGTGTGGGAGATCGCACTGGGGGGTGTGGCTGTTGTGCCATTGACTTCAATGCACCACCATGCACCCTCCCTCCTCTGAACGCACGAAGCCGGCCAGAATGTGATACAGTGAATTCCAGAGGCTGACACATTAGGCCCTTAGGCCTCCCACCACACTGCAATTCACTGTAATAACTTAGCACAATACAGCACTTTATAGTATTGTATATAGCACAAATTAGCAGCTGCTGCTGGAAACCCTTCCTGTTATAGGGAGTAGGCTGGCACATAGAAAACCCTTTATTGGCATTTTTAAGCCACATGACCACAGTTGAAAAGCCAGGAAGTGCATGATTGGTAGTTGGGCACTATGGTGCCAGACAATTTGCTTAGTTTGCCATTTTCCCTAACTATGAATGACTTGAGTTTTGGTCAAACTTGTGGTCTTTCTGAACCCGTAGCTCATCTCTAATTACAATCATACAGGCTTCCAAATGAAGATGTTGCATGTGATTAAATGGTTTAATGCCATTGAATGGCCCCCACGCTCGCCTGACAGGAATCCAACAGAACACCTCTGGAACATTATGGGGTTGATTTACTAACCTTTTAAACACACCACGAACGTGTATACACCTGTGTAGTGTGTTCCCTCCCAGCATGATCTATGGGAGGAATCGAAACACCTTTGTAGTGTGTACACACCCAGCAGGTGTGTTGTTCAAAGCCCTGCAATGAATTGCAAGGTAATGTGGTGTAAATTAGCTCTATGTTATGTTACTTGCGTTGATGAATGCAGGAATGTAAATGCATGAGCTAACCATTTTTGTCTAAACTGTGAAGCAACATTATATATGCATCATGTGCATGATTTTTCCATATATGGCATTAGTGGAAATATGCTTTTAGAGACTTTTTGGTTGATAAATACGTTTTGCTGTGTGAAAATCACACACACCTGGTGTGTGTGTGTGTGTTTAGGTTAGTAAATCAACCCCTATGTCTCAGTCCATCCGATGCTGCCAGGTTGTACCTCAGTCTGTTCAGGAGCTCAGTGATGCCCTGGTCCAGATATGGGAGGAGATACCCCAGGACACTATCCGTCGTCTCATTAGGAGCATGCCCCGATGTTGTCAGGCATCCATACAAGCACGTGGGGGCCATACAAACTAATGAGTACCATTTTGAGTTGCTGCAATGAAATTTCAGCACAATGGACTAGCCTGCTGCATCATTTGTTCACTTTGATTTTTAGGGTATCTTTGAATTCAACCCTCTGTAGGTTGATCATTTTTAATTTCCATTTTTGGCATCCTTTCGTTCCTAACACATTACCCACTCCAGTATACAGTAGATGTCCAGCATGATATTTTTCCCGATTGAGATCTGATGTGTTTTCAAAGTGTTCCTTTAATTGTTTTGAGAAGATTATATACTGTATGTATGTATGTATGTATATATACTGTGTGTGTATATATATATATATATATATATACACACACGCACACAGTGTATATTTATATATTTTATTGTTGTTTTCAATGTGAATGTAATTGGTGTCTGCAAAGACACATTTTTGCTTTTTGAGAGATTTAAAAATAATTCCACCATCAACTTGTGAGCATTTAAGTCATACTCATATAGGGCACTGTGAATTCATACTTTACTGACACAGATTTGGTTGCATATACAGTATATATATATATAGTTCTCTTAAACTGGTCTCATTAGGCATTTATGTTGGCATTAAACCAGTTGATAACATTGTAATTTTGGCTTCTGTTATTTTCTTTTTCAGGTGGTGAAAATGATGATTGTGGTTGTCGTAACATTTGCATTTTGTTGGCTTCCCTACCATATATTTTTTATTGTTACTGCCCTTGACATAAAAGTGGAAAGATGGAAATACATCCAACAAATATACTTGGCAATTTTTTGGCTGGCAATGAGCTCCACTATGTACAACCCTATAATTTATTGCTGTCTAAATAAAAGGTAAGGAAAAAAGTCAGGAAGACCTTGGTTTTAGATCTATCAATTAAAGAGCTTGATATGACAATTATCCTTCAGGAATTCAATCAACTGTTGTAAATGCTTAACAAGGCGGCAAAATGGCTCTCCGCAGGGAGTGAAAAAATATTTGGCGAAGTTCCAGATTGTGATTTCTGTCTTATAATTAGTGTTTGAAGCATTTGGAGTCAATGATCTGAAATAACATGGCTCACATGATATATCTTTGTCATAAGCTGTGACATGCCAAAGTTTTTAATATTTTAACCAATTTGTTTGTTTGCTTGAGTCAATTGCTTATTTTAGATCTACTTTTCCTAAAGTGAATTTGAGAGCCGAATATAAAAAATATTCAGTACATCTCTGCAATATATGCACATTTCACCATGTTTTTCCCTTTAAAAACACTGCAATTACAGAAAAATCCCTACTAATGTCTAAAAAAAAATCAAGTGTGCTCTTAACTTCCTGTTTGAGCCGACAACCCAATTCCCAAGCAGTGTTGTCAGCCCTTCCTGCTGGACTACAGAGCTCCACCTATCCCCCACCCCTCTCTTTCCCACTCAGCACTAGTGATGGGCTTGGGCGTGTTGTCAAGCACCTCATGCCGAGCCCGCCAGGAAGCCGTCAGCGCGCAGGGCCAATCACAGGCACTGAGACGTGTTCCCTGACCGCAGCTGCAGAGATCGGGAAATGTCTCAGTGCCTGTGATTGGCGCTGACAGCTTCCCGGCCGGCTCGGCACGAGGTGCTTGCGAACACGCCCGAGCCCATCACTACTCAGCACGCATAAATTGATTTCCCAACAAAACAATGCTGCTTCTTTGACTCCCAAGGACCTGCCAATGCACTGGGTGTGGGGAAAGGGCTCTTGGGTGATATAGCCCTGAGGCTGTTCCCGTGTCAGTAGGAACTGACCTCCCAGCGGCTGCCCCTGCAAGAATTTTAGAAGCTTAGTGATGAAGTCGTCTGTGTCAGTACTATTCTGCTGGTCTCTTACCAGCAAACTCACATCCTTAAAGTCACAGAAATGCTGAGGTGTTTTATGGGTTGTGCAAGAATAACAGGCAATATTTTATAAAGACATTAATCTTTTCTCCAAACAATTAACCCCTTGCCGTCCCATCGTAAAAACACGGGCGGATGGCAGATGCTTCCCGGTGGGTGAATGAACATTTACGTGATTTTTTTCTACCTGTGTGCGCCCCCTAGCAGGCGCGCGCAAGCAGGATCCCACCGGGAATGTGAACAGCCGTTACCGGCTGTTACATACAAGCATTCGGCTGGCTCTATAGCATCTATATGCATGATACACAGTGCCAGGTCCCCCCTCTGCTGCGCACCCCCCACTCTGCTGCCGCTGCTGGCCCGGGATCGCGCACACTGGCACAGCAGCTCTCTGTACTGAGAAGGAGGAGAGATCAGCATTCCCCCACTGCTGATCTCTCCTCCTTCTCTCTCTAAAGGCAGAAGCGATGTCTTCATCAGCTTCTTTGAGGGTTCCAAGGTGACATTAGGGGTCTTGTGGACCCCTGATGTCTCCATAAAGAGGATATGTCATTGTTTTTTGGCTATTACATAGGGGGATTTTAAGCCCCCTATGATAAAGCAATCAAGTTAAGTGAAAAAAACATTTTTTTTAAAGGTTAAAAAAAAATGAAAGTCCCATATTCAAAAAAATAAAAAAACACACAAAAAAGTTTTAAGTCCCCCATGTGCATGCACTTATAGACGTAAATACGCGTTGAGTGCACCTACGCGTGAAAACAATGATTACGTCACACACGTTACATATCGCCGCAAACATCTCAGGGAGAGCAATAATTTTAGGGCCATTATTCACTGATAACACTAAACTGATGAGCGGTAAAAGCTTTTAAAGCGTCGTCCATGGCCAATTTTAGGCATGGTTGTTTTTTTGCGATTTCGTGGACGCACACAATTTTGAAGCTTGACTTGATGGTGTCTATTTACCCGACGTGACCCTGTCTTTAATATTTCGCCAAAAAATTGGGTGCTGATAAATGTTTTATAGCAACGTAGAGAAAACAGTTTTTTTTTTTCAATTATATAGTAAAAAATAAAAACCCCAGTGGTGATTAAATGCCACCAAAAGAAAGCTCTATGTGTCCCTAATAAATGGTATAAAATTAATTTCAGTATAGCATTGCTTGATGGAATAAATGTCAGTAACAGTACCGCAGCGCTGCATACTGAAAAATGGCCTGGATGAGAAGGGGGTTTAACACCCCGGTCAGCAAGTGGTTAAGATACTACAAGGAAAATTCAGAAACAATGTTTACTGTTTGAAGAATTCCGTTGGGGATACTGGACAGTGGGCAGATTCTGTAACCATACTACCATATTTGACAAAAATACCTAGAGACAGGGCTTTTTTGATTTTGGCACAGGTCCTTTTAAAAGGTCCATACCACCAAAAAAGTCATGCAAAGCCTTTAATAAATTCTCCCTGGGTGTTTGCAAGTTCAAATAAAATCAGTGTAGCAATGACAATACATAACCACTTTGTGATACTTATTACTTTAATTACAAATAAAAAATAGATTCGAAAGAATAATATAACATTTACACATACATAAAACACTGGGAATAAGAGCACTGGCTAAAAAAGCTTATCATGTAAAAAGGGCAGCAATTTGTGGCAGGCCTAATCTCTGTGGTATAAGTGGTGATTTTCATGACATTCTTTGTCCCTATCTCTTTTACCTCTGTGTGTCACAATTGAACAACAGATGATGACATAATTTTTTTTAAATATTGTCCTATACTGGAGACTAGGCAGGTTTTATCTTGAAATAAACATTAGAGCGTATTGTCTGAGCAACAATAGCCAAGAATATTAAGGTGTAGCTGGACAGTATTTTACCCCTTCACGACTGGAGACATACACTGTACGTCTCCATCGAGAAACCCTTAAGGTCTGGTAGGAATTTTAGGAGGGACCCCATTAAAAAAAACAAAAAAATTATTCCCAATCAGACCCGTGATCCGAGCACAGGCCTAGCAGGGCAGGAAAGGGGGGGGACGAGCGAGCGCCCCCCCCCCTCCCTGCCATATCAGGCCACATGCCCTCGGCACTGGGAGCATGCTTTTCCAGGGTCGCCCCGGGAAAAGCACCTTGTCTCGTTCCAATTCCCCGACCTATTCACTAAAGGGTTAAAATGAATTTAAATAGAAAGTCCAGACTTTTAGAAAAAAATCCTTTAATTGAAATAAAAACACAACAAAGGCTTTTGACAAGTCCTTTATTATTTAAAAAAATAAACCCGAAAAAATTGATCCACCGACAAAATCCAACGGTCAATCACGACATCCAGCGTTGTCTACAATGACGAGAACTCGATGAAATACAAAATAAATAGAAATAATTTTTAAAAAATCTGATGCCTGTTGACCTGTCCGCGACGATCTCCCGCTGCAGAATGGCATTCCGACAGATGCCGGCAAAATATAAACAATTTGGCGGAGCTAGCTCCGCCCAACTGTTTACATTTGTCTGGCACCTGACAAGAATCAGTTGTGTGAGCCATGTTTGGGCAAAGTCATCATTACTTTGCCCAATCATTGCTCTCACAGTGTACTGTGCTGTGATAGGGTAAAGTCTTGCACTTGACCTGTAGTCAGGTGCATTGCTTTACCCAATCAGGGCTTCACAAGGCACTGTGAACCTTGTGGGGTGCTCGGCTGGCGAACACCTCGCCGAACACCCTCATAGTTCGTGTGTTCACGAACTGCCGATGTTCGAGTCGAACTGTTGCTTGACTCGAACATCGAAACCATCCCTAATCACTGGCTCTTGATTTTTCCTGCCTGATGTCTCCTGACAGCTGTGTGACTCTACTGAACACAGTTAAAAGGTCACACAGGACATTATGGATCCTGTAAATTTGCCAATACTGCTAACTATGAAACCACAGGATTCACTGCCAATCCACCATTCGGTGAACCCAATTCTCATCCAGAATGACAGTATCTATTAACACTTGTAATTGTCAGGTACATTGTCAGGAAATATTAACTATATAACAAAAAAAAATAACCTATAGCCTATAATAAAAAATAAAAAAACACCCACTGGGCTTTAAATAAAGCAGTGTACAATATAAAAGCCTGTTATGTCCTTTACAATATACAGTATATATAAATTATTTAGGTATGCAAATTATTCATAAAGTTAACCAACACATGCTGATGTTGGTAAATTTGACATGAATATCTAGGCATCAATAACCTCTGGTCACAAAAGTGTTATTTTAAAGGTTTTTGTTTTTTATTAAACAAAAAAAATGAAAATCCAGTGGAAGAAAAAGGGATGCATACATCATACAGAAAGTGCCCACCCACACATTGTATTACTTCAACATAGGATTGCAAGGCAACAATATTTGAGTCCATTATTTTCCAGGTGAAAATGCCTTCTATGAAATAACTTTTAAAGAAACCAGGAAAAGCATTTCTTACTCAAAAACAAATCTTGTAGTGGAGGGATAACTCTCCAGCTGGCTCTTATCAAAGCTTTTTGAGGCTTACTTTGGCTTTAGAACTGTTTTCACTTGACTGAACTAGTACACTGACATGGAATTTATATTATGGCCCCTAAAAGTGCTTGGTATTTGTGAAATCCTACTGTATCTGTGTGGTAATGTTGGTATAAACAGTTGTTGCTTTCTAATGTTGAGTATACAAGGAACATCTTAGTTAAGTGGTAAGTCTGAAAAGCTAAAACACAATAAAGTTAAGAGTTTATTGAAAAGATTGCAATCTAACTGAATGTTTAATTCAATTAAACATTTGCCCTTGAACAGCATGTACATTGTCAATAAGAAGGCAAACAGGCAAGTAAGAGTCCTTTATTGCAGAAAAGATATAGTATGTCTGTGCTGCAATAAAAAGCCTGCATGATCATGTTTTTTAATTTTTACGTAAAGTATAATTCCCCTTTCACAGCCAAATTGGCATAACACCTATGTTATATGTGTTACATGTTCCCATTCACATAGCATACGCTAAAAACATCTCTAAGAACACTTCTTGCAGTTTATAGCTTTTACTTGGTTTAGGGTTTCTTGGCTTCTTACGGGTTCTCTTTCTTCTACTTGCTTCTACTTTGAGGCTTCTACTTGCTTCTCTTTTTTTAATGCATGGAAAGGTTGTGAGGGGTTAGGGGTTTGTTAACCCTCTCTGTACTGTGCTGGCTCATTTCATTATAATTTGTAAAGTAGATTTCAACACTATCTGTCCTAACAAAGGGTTAACAAAGTTAAAAGCCTGGTGTTTGCATTGTATGTTAATGAAGTTAATAAGAGAAACACAATCCACAAATTTCAGTCCTAAGTCTTTCCATAAGGACAGATCACTGTGAAGTTTCTCAGAAAAAACTTTGATTCAGCCATTTTACCTGCTGAAACAAAACATCTTAAAGGTAAGGTAAATATTTTTTAAATAATTGATTTTGTTATGCTGTGTGAATGGGAACACAAACATATTGGTTGTCTCAAATGTGACTGCAAAAGTAAAAACACACTTTAAAGTTCCATTTTTAATGAGAGCTAGGTTTGGATTGGCCAGTGGCAGGACAATTTTACATCATCTAGAACAGGGACAGCCACAGTGAACTATTGGTCAATTCCTAACTGCCCAACAAAGCCGTTTTTTTGAAAAGGCATGCTAAACCTACCTTAAAAAAGGCCTTTTTTTCAAACTGAGATAAATCATATTGTGGTGCTGCTTCTGTATGTAAGGCAAGCTAAATAAAAAAATTAATCTATTTCACAGCCAACTATACGCTTCCAGTGTATGCTTTTGCTGAGACTGTCTGTAAAATTCATACTGTTCTGTAACACAATGAACAGCTTAACGTATTCCCAAGCATGTTAAAGGATTTATGTATTTTTAATGTGGCCTTCAAACCGCATAAGAAGACCCACTTGCCACCTTATGGTAATTTTTATTTTTTTGCATTGGTACATGTGCCACATGGTTATGTCTAGTTTCCCATGCATTTTTAACAGTAATTTGCCTATAAGTCCTAAAAAAGAATTGAACAAGATTTTCCCCATAGACTTCAGTGGGATCTGCTTCTAACCCTTACCCTGTGAGAATACATGGAACTTCTGAGTATAGAGGAGCATGTGACCTGCTCCCCTGTGATGGTGCCTGGGCGAAGCAGACAATCACTAGGCCAGAGCACTGCCACATGACTGTAAGAGAGATGTCACTCTTAGACCCTGGGTGCCGATTAAACTGATCTCAAGGCCAGCTGCAAACGAGCAAGGAGCTGCAAAAGAGTGCACATAAGTGTATGGGGTCCAGAGAGGCCCTTTTCCAGAAGCACTGTCACCTTGCCATGCACGGGCAAATTGACAGTGCCTCTTTAATAAATGAATAATTTGTTATATCAGCAGGAACTTTGAGGTAAAAGTCAAAAGACAGCCCAGGAGGCAGCCCCTGCTGGTGGCCAAAACCCCCTACTCAATTACATGGCAAAGCAGTGCAAAAAACAAGAGCAAAAGTATTTACACATACATGCAGAAACAAGTGGCAGGCACTCCAATGAATGCAGAGTTAAAGATTTTATGGTGATTACAAATAAATAACTTTTTATAATCGCCACACAGAGGAAAATTAAGGTTCAGGTGTCATTTTGTCTCAACGTCTGCAGGGAGTTACACACACATTATCCCTCCTGTTGGGTCACTGTTGTTGCTGTGGGACCCTAATCTAGTATTGTTGGTATTGCAAAAATCACCTTTCAAGAACAGTACAGAGATGCCGCTGCTGACATTAGCAAAAAAGAGGCTGTCCCAGTGGCCATCAATTTGGCATGCAGATTCACTGTTCCTGTTTCTGGAAGACCAACATAAGGGCCTTGCAGTGTCAGCCACTACAACCTCACACTGAAAACAGCAAACTATTGCTCAATCATATGCCATGAAGCACAGAAAACTACCGTTTCTGTTTAGAGCACATCCTACTGGACGGTTAATGCATCCTGTCCTTTCTGCCATAAGGCCTCATTTTGCAGGTTTGCAAGGTGGCTACTTGGTCATCAGTTCATACATGCACCAAATTTTACAAGATGATTGTGGCAGCATCAACAGATGCCAGTTTTGGAAGCAGCAGTTTGATTGGCCTATTCCTTTTTTACGATTTAGGGTTTTTTGTTCTGTTATTTGCCTGCCCTGTAGTGGCATTGCTTTGGGACATTCCAATTGGCAAATAACTAAAGCAAAGCCTTATGCTCCAATGAAAAAAAGAGAGTAGGATTTTTTGGTACTCACCATAAAATATTTTCTCTGCATTTATTGAAGAACACAGTACCCACCCCTCTGATTTGCTGTTGTCCTATTGTGTTACTACTTTTTTCTTGTTATTTTCCCTGCTATGCCATGTACCTGAGCTGTCTATAGCAGTGAAGGGGGTAGTGCACCTAGCATCCTACTCTTGCAAGTGATAATATACCCAGTCAATTATTTAAAGCATAGCTGTGTTCTCCAATAAATGAAAGAGAAAACCCATGTTGTGCTTGCCTGACCTCTGAAAGCATTGAAATCTGATTGCCTGTAGGGGAATTTAAATCCTTTATGGAATAAGGTCATCAGTATTGCATAACATTCAATTAGTAGAATGATCTGATTCTTTATGCCTGCAGTGGCTTGTGGCGAATTGTTAAATAAACCAGTAAATATTAAATGTAGCTTCCACATTTCTAAAACTACCCTATTTTTATCTAGGTTCCGTGCTGGCTTTAAAAGAGCATTCAGATGGTGTCCATTTATCGAAGTATCCAGCTATGATGAACTAGAGCTTAAGTCTACCAGATTCCACCCAACAAGGCAGAGCAGTCTGTACACAGTTTCCAGAATGGAATCAAGCATGACAGTGGTGTTTGACCCAAATGATGGTGAAACCTCCAAGTCTGTTCATAGTCACAAAAAAAGAGTTCCATCCAGCGAATCAACGTTAAATGGATGCTCCCGTAAAAACTCCACAGATGCCTCTACAAATTCAGTTTTCATCAGCTCACATTGTACATCCATAGATTGTTATTCATGAATTATACATCAAATTCTATTAACTACATCATAAAACATTGTAAAACGTAATTGTTTCAGCATATTATAAAACAGGCATGAGAGATAAATCTGTTCTTTTTTAATGCTTGAATAATTGGTTTTAAATGTTGGTATTCTTTAGCAACTTCATACATTTCAACGTAACATCAAAATGTGCTAAGGGACTTAGAGAGTCCAATATTTCATACTAACTAAAACAAATGAAGAGTAGAGTCGTAATGTCTGTGTGTTTGCTATTTAGTAGTTATTGTGTGCTACAGTACAATGTATGACCTGCCTTATTAACGTTAAGCTTTTTTGGCAGAAATTATAAAAAAAAGAAATGTCCTTATACAATGACAAAAAAAGGTTTAAAATGCAGTTTTATTCAAAATACTAAAAAAATAAAATGTATACACTGGACTTCTGTTGTAATAACTTCATGAAAACTAAAATCATCATCCTCATGGTTAATGTTTAATATCATTATTTATCATCATCTTAATTTGAAGCACTTTATTATTAATGTACCTTTTAAAATGTAACATTTATAGCTTGTTTATAATGAAGGCAGTAAAATTGTTATTGTCAGTAAGTAGGACACACATCTATGCCACCTTTATGTCAATCAATTTATCCTAGCCCATTCACTTCCAGTTTCTATGGACCTCTAACTCTCCTTCCCTGATTAGCTAAAGGAATCTATGGAGGAAGATACAATTAGAAGATTCACAATGCAGGACAATGCAGCAGCATAATGGTATAATAATAACAACAATTGAGCCATACCTTCTTTAAACCTGTTGAGTGGATATACCTTTAGCCTGGATTTACACCTAGGTGTCAATGTTTTTAGGCATCCTTCAAGCATTTCTTAGAATCGTTTTTAAGCATTCATATATGCGTATACACATGTTTTTGAAGTGTTTTTAAACATTTTGCAGATGTTCAGCTTCAGGTGTTGCTCTATTTGGTCCAATGGAGAGCAGTAGCATCTGTAACAAAACGCCCCAAAATCACTTGTGACACATTTTAAGGCATTTCCAGTTAAGTCTATGGGGACAAAAATGGTCAAATCTGCATGAAAAGAAGCTTATATACTTTTTTAAGCTAGAGCCATTTTTCTACAAATGACAGAACACTCAGGTGTGAACAGGAGCCATAGAAAACAATGGGATTCCTTGTGTTGAGCATTTTGTAGCTTCGAGCTATAAGACGACTAGCTGTGAACAAGGCCTAAAGTAATTACTAAATACACTTTAAAAGAATGAAGTGGCAAATTGATCTTATTGGAATAATAACAGAAATATAATGCTGTTTAGATAACGGCGAAGGGAACACATACCTATAGAAGCTGCTACTTTAGAGTCATAGTGGATTGGCAGTATTTTTATTCAAGACTAGTACATATTTCTTGCAGAATATCGACTCCATAAGGTAAGTATCTCCACGCCAATTTATTTTACGTACACTGTACGTCGTCAGTCACGAAGGGGTTAAGGTCACGTAGGTTTATGGGACACAAGGCAGGAAACAGGCAGCACTCCACATATTGATATTCAAAGCACAGGGAGGTTTAGCATAAAGTTTTTTAAACAAATGTTTTTCACCTTTTTTTTACTATATGTACACAATATATGTTTTAGGAATAAGTAAGAGCTTCTGCTTGTTGAAGAGGGAATTTCAAAAATATTCATATACAACATTTCATATTTTCCTGACTTAAACAAAGAAAGAGGAGAGGAGGGAAAGATTGTGGACCTTTACCCCCTTTGACTAAAAATCACCTTAGTATACAGCTCTGCATGCTGATATGAAATCATCTTACATTCATTAATGAAACAAACATATTTTCATTTTACTTAAAATTTCTTTTTTTCCACTTCCTGGTCCAGGTTGGCACAAATAATGTAACCGCGCCCAAGCATTGCATCCTGGGAAGATTACAGCAGCAGTGCATTGCTGTGAAATATCATCTGTAATCTCATTCAATCTCAGGGAAAGGCATTTTCCTCCCCTGAGAGGATGTGCATAGTCACATGTCTTAGTCACATGTGCCAGAGTTCCAGGAAGTAAAGGGATATATATCAATCTGCCCTTAGTTAAAATGGCCACCATGAGAATAAAGGGGAGGAAAAGAAAAATTAAGGTATGCAAAGATTAAAAACCCGCCAATTATCTAGAAGTATCTGTTTGTAGATTGTCATTACTAAACATTTCTAAAGGTGTATTTGTTTTCATTTCAAAGATGTGTGTTAAGTTCCTCTTTTGGGCTAAGGTACATAATAACAGATAGGTGATAGTTAAGGTAGCCGCAGGTGATAAAAGAAAGTTGTCTTTGCTCTAGGCACAAAAAGCTTAAGCCCAAACAACTAAAATTGTATACTGATTATGGTATTTGTAAAAGAGAACATGTGGTAAAGCATCTAGTAGTGCAAAATGTATTTATCTGCATCCTATTGTATTAAATTTATTGGAATATAATACTTTTTTAACTAGGCTCTTTTAAGGTGGCCTGCTGCTGCATACTGAACTAGCAAATGGCTCTCTGAACCACTTTTTACCTGGTCACTATTACTCTGGGCAAATAAAAGTCACTGGCAGAGCAGATTTTCTAATATTCCCTCACCTCTAGTTCTGACAGTTTTTAACAAACATATACAAAAGTAATAAAAAAACATAACATTTGTATTTTAATCTATATCGTTGTTGTATTTAAACTCACCTACCATTTAATCTACCATTACAATCATTTATGTCTTAGAATAAACTGCTATGGCTACCTTTTTGCAGTATTATGTTCAGTGCATAGTTACCCTTAAAGAGACACAAAACCCCAAAAATAATTTTAAAAATAAGAGCTACACTATAGTAATTTAATAATGACCTTTTTTCGGCTTTCATTATTTACTCATACATTCCTCAAAAAACGATCTCTTTATCTATTGTGATAACTTCCTGCCAAAGGGTGGCTACTTTTTTTTCACCATGGTCCCTATAAGTGCTGAAAAGTAGCCACCCTCTGTGCTCACTCCCACTGAGAACTACAACTAGACATCTCCTCTGCTGACAGCTCCTTTCTCCTCACTCCCTTCTACATTGGGGGGTGGGGGGGCACAGGAGTGTGAGCAGAGCTGAGCTGTATATGTTTTAATACTTGCTATCTCTCTTTTTTTATGGCACAACTGAAAATAGCCATACAGGCTTTGTCTCCCTTCACTTTGGTTTGGCTATGCATTTGTCTGCTTAGTGGATAACCCCCTTGATCTTTCTCTTCCCCTTCCCTGCAGAACTAAACTTCTTGTGTAGTTACTGATTTAACATAATAGACAAGAAAATAGTACACTACATAGAATAAAGCTTGTATGGAATTTACAAGATTTAAATGTATAACATTTGGGGGTTGATTTACTAACCTTATAAACACGCCACAAACAAGTATACACCTCTGTAGTGTGTTCCCTCCCAGCATGATCTATTGGTGGAATCTAGAAACCTTTGTAGTGTGTACACACCCAGCAGGTGTGTTGTGCAAAGCCCTGCATGAATTGCAAGGTGATGTTGTGTAAATTAGCTCTACATTGTGTTGCTTGCGTTGATAAATGCAGGAATGTAAATGCATGAGCTAACCATTTTTGTCTAAACTGTGAAGCAGCATTATATATGCATCATGTGCATGATTTTTCCATATATGGCATTAGTGGAAATATGCTTTTAGAGACTTTTTGGTTGATACGTTTTGCTGTGTAAAAATCACACGCACCTAGTGCGTGCGTGTGTTTAGGTTAGTAAATCACCCCCTTGGAGTCTGGAAATATCTTGCTGAGCCTCCAGAAAAAAATAAGCCACACATACTCCTCGTTATACAATTTGCAGGATTACATTATACAACTTTGCCACAATAAACTTAAATGCTATTTACTGGAACTTCTACATTTTAAGTAATTACTGTGATCGCCATTAGTGCCTTGCCTTATGGGCACATGTAAAACATACCTATTCATATTTTAGCTATCCATGTAATGATTGTTCTTGTACAATTCTTTGTAACATGAAGTTAGATTTTTACCTCACACAGTTAAATTAATGAAGACAAATTTATTTATTTATTAATTACAGGTATTTACTGCATTTTGCACCCCATAACACGCACCTAACCATAAGACGCAGGGTAGTTCTTGACAGCTGAGACAGGTGGCGCTGTGATTACAGCGCCACAGTCTCAGTGATCACACAGAGCAGACGAAGAACGTACGTTCTTCATCTGCTCTACGGGCTATGGTAAGCTCCTATGCCATGGTCACGGGTCCCCCAGAGGAGCGGGGGACCCTGAAAACCGCAGCGGGGGGGCCTGACAGGATCGGTGCTGCTCCTTTCATACAAGTGATCTAGTCAGATCACTTGTATGAAAACGAGTGGCGGCTCCACACTATACATTTAGCTCTGCTTGTCAGGAGCAGGGTTAAATGTACAAAAAAACTACTCGCCCGGCGCCCGAAACTGCCCGAAATGTCCCGGTCGTCGGGCGATAGGGATTACCTCAGCTCTCACACATTCGCTCCTTTTGGGGGGGAAAAAGTGTGTCTTATGGAGTGAAAAATACAGTATAAAGCACCTACAATTTAAGCAGCACTTTACATGTTGCACATTCACATCAGTCCCCACCCCCAAGGAGCTTACAATCTAAGGTCCCTATCTCACATGCATACATAGAGGGCCAACTTAGAGAGGAGCCAATTAACCTACTAGCATGTCTTTGGAGAGAGAGAGAGAGAGAGAGGTAACCGGAGGAAACACACGCAAGCACAGGAGAACATGTAAACTCCTTGCAGATAGTGACCTGGCCGGGATACGAAACGGGGACCCCCAGTGCTGCAAAGCAGAAGCGCTAAAGACTACGCCACTGTGCTGCCCAGAGATGTAGCAGAGATGTCTTCTGCTAGTCAATAACCCTGATTTACTAAAGAAGAAGATGCATGTTTACTTTGGAAAGTGATTTTTCAGTGATGACTTCAGTCATCAAATCATGTATAAGCAAGTTTTCTGTTTTGTTGAATTTGCAGGCGATTT